CCTCCCCTCCTCCTCCTCCTCCTCCTCTTCCTGTTCGTCCTCCTCCTCCTGGTCGTCCTCCTCCTCCTGCTCGTCCTCCTCCTCCTCCTCCTGCTCGTCCTTCTTCTCCTGCTCCTCCTGCTCCTCGTCCTGCTCCTGCTCGTCCTCGTCCTCCTGGTCTTGCTCGTCCTCCTCCTCGTCGTGCTCTTGCCCCTGCTGAAAATGTGGCCCAGGAATGGGAGTTCTGGGAAGTCGAAGAGCACGAAGTTGCATACAGTTGGCTACGGGCATTCAAAATGTGGCCCGGGAATGGAGTTCTGGGAACTCGAAGAGCACGAAGTGGCCTACAGTTGGCTCCGGGCATTCAAAATGTGGCCCGGGAATGGAGTTCTGGGAACTCGAAGAGCACGAAGTGGCCTACAGTTGGCTCCGGGCATTCAAAATGTGGCCCGGGAATGGAGTTCTGGGGACTCGAAGACCACGAAGTGGCCTACAGTTGGCTCCGGGCATTCAAAATGTGGCCCGGGAATGGAGTTCTGGGAAGTCGAAGAGCACGAAGTGGCCTACAGTTGGCTCCGGGCATTCAGAATGTGGCCCGGGAATGGAGTTTTGGGAAGTCGAAGAGCACGAAGTGTGTGACTGTTGGCTTAAAGCGACTTCTGCGGCACCCTGTCCGGCACCCGCCCAGACCCCCCTGTGGAGTCATCTGCTGCTCCCTTTTGACACTACTAGAAACCTATCAGAACAAGCTGTTAGGTAAAAATCACGACATCGGATCTCTGGGACGGCAGAAGCAGAAACTTGCCACCCCCGTCGAACGAGAATCTAAAGCAGTGGCGAAGCGTCCTGGCGTGCCTGTAGGCCTACCAAACAATGTTCTAAGAACCTGTTTTGGTTTCCACGGAAGGTTCTCAGAACAGTTATGGCTGGGACCGTCCTGTTCAAGCACATCGCGTCTAGGTTCTAAGAACATTGTTTGTGGTATTAGAACATTTCCGGGTTCTAAGAACATGTCGTGGTAGGCCTGTAGGAGTGCCGGGACGGTCGGTCCCTGCTCAACAGAAACAGCGGCAGTAGTAGAAATTGCTGGCGTTCCGCGCGGATGTTTCTCGGATCCGCGCTTTGAGCCCCCCCGGCGGCGCCTCGGGCGCCGACCCCTGTGTGCTTCGCGCGCCATGGAGGGGGTTCTGGCCCAGATCCAAGAAATCCGCGCGGACCTCCCAAAGTTGATGTTTACGGCGTTCTTTCTTCCTCCTTTCCGCGTGCTCTCCTCGTCGGCGTCGTCGGCGTCGGCGTCGTCGCTCCGGTCACCGTCGTCGTCGTCGCCGTCGTCGTTCTGTTTGCTCGTCTTCGTTCTGTTTGCTCGTCTTCGCCCCTTCCTCCCTCTACATCATGGGAAGAGGAGATGCCGACGCCGCCATCAGCCCCTCGCGACCGCGGCCGGATTCGCCTCGGAGTCCTGGTCAGCACACGCCCGACGGGAGGTCCTGGGAGTAGCGGCGCCACCATGAACCAAACGGCGCTCGAGGGAAACGGTCAGGAGGGGGAAAAAAAAACACACAGACACAATTAATCGTCGATTCCCCGGAAAATATGAGAAAATATGGAAATTGGGCGGGAAGACCAAAACCCAGCAAACATGGGGAAATATGGGGAACCATTTTGTTTGTGTGCACTTAGTTGTGTGTCCCAGGGCCCCTTCAAACGGGTCCTGAGGTCGTCCTGCCTTCTTCGGGCCCTCGGGGCCCTCCGTGGGCCCTGACATTGCCGGAAGTCGCCTCGCGGGCCGCAGGGCGAAGAGAGCTGTGCCCTCGGCCCGGTCGCGGAGATGACGTGGGCCTCTACCGCAGGCCTCGGCGGCAGGGCCTGCACGGCGCACGCGCGCCCTGCTTTGGCACACCCAGGAGGGGAGAAAACCCACAGACACAATGAATCGTCGATCCCCCAGACAATGTGGGAAGATATGGGAATTTGGGGCGGGAAGGCATACACCCAGAAAGTATGGGGAAACATAGGGAACCTTTTTATTTGTGTGTGTGTACTTCTTTGTGTGTGTCCCAGGGGCCCCTTCACACACCCCCTGTCGCTTGGCATCGCTCGGACGTGTGCATTTTTCCTTCGGCGAGGACCATCGAGGAACCTCCTCGATCATTTGGCGAAAAAGCCACGCACGAAACCGAAAAAAACACAGGAAATGGACGTCCGAGCGATGGCCAGGTCGCGTCTCGCGGCCCCGCAGTGGAGCTCCACCGGGGGCCCCGGCGGCAGCGCTCACGTGCGCTTCTCCCCCACCCACGACGCCGCACGCACTCCTCGCGCGCGTTGCATCCCCACGGGAGCTCCGCGCGTCGCTCACGCCTGCATCTGGCTGGGCCCTCCGCCTGGACAGTTCAAGAAGGACTGACTAGGAAATGGGCCGATCTCCAGCGGAACTGACTAGGAAAGAATTCCGAAGAAGCAATGGGCCGATCTCCAGCGGACCGATCTCCAGCGGACCGTTCTCCAGCGGACTAAGCGGAAATGGGCCGATGGTTCAAGAAGAATGACTGGATAGTTCAAGAAGAACTGACTAGGAAGGAATTCCCGCAGAATTCTTGAATGTTCTGCTTGCGCGTCGTATCCCCACAGGGGAGCGCCGCGCGTCGCTCACGCCTGCATCTGGCTGGGCCCTCCGCCTGGACAGTTCAAGAAGAACTGACTAGGAAATGGGCCCTCCTTTTCCTGCTCCTCCTCCTCCTCCTCCTCCTCCTCCTCCTCCTCCTCCTCCTCCTCCTCCTTCCGCAGCATCCCAGCATCCCGCAGAATTCTTGAATGCTCTGCTTGCGCGTCGTATCCCCCACAGGAAGAACGCCGCGCGTCGCTCGCGCCTGCATCTGGCTGGGGGCCCTCCGCCTGGATGGTGCTCGGGGTTGGGCAGGCCTCCTACCCCGACGCGTCGATGAGCGAATTGGCCGTTTTCGGTTTGCGAGAGGGCGTCGCGGCCGTCATGTTCGCGGGTCCAGGCCCGTCGGTTTCGGTCCCAGGCCGTCTTCACTAAAGGGAGATTTACTAAAGAGAGGTTTGTCCACCGCCGAAGTTCAAGAAGAACTGACCAGGAAATGGGCCGATCCCAGCATCCCGCAGAATGCGTGAGCGTTCTGCTTGTAACCTACCAAAAGGAAGCAGTGGGACAACTCATCAACAATATTCGCATTCTTGAGCATATGTTGCTGCGCCGACGTCAAGCCCGAACCCTTACCCTCACCCACTTACATTCTGTCATGTGATCAGATCATGACCAACCCTAGTAGTAGTAGTAGTAGTAGTAGTAGTAGTAGTAGTAGTAGTAGTAGTAGTAGTAGTAGTAGTAGTAGTAGTAGTAGTCTCATCAGAGGCTTGTCTGAGGCCTTGAGAGGCTCACCATAGGTCCTAAGAGGCACTTCGGAGGCCCCAAGAGACTCTTCGGAGGCATCAAGATGCTCATCATCGGCGCTTTGTGGGCGTGTGGTGGGGAGGTCCGGGCCTCTGCCTGTAGCCAGCACCCCCCGCCCCCGCTGCCGTACTCAACGATTTGCAGACTCTGGAGCATAATGAGCCGTACGAAACACCTATCTGGCTACAAGCACCCAATGGGCCACACAAACACCTCCTCTCGGAAACGAGGAGGGAGTGAGGATGGTGCTGGATTTGTTTTTGGATCCTCCTCCCCTGGGCTCCTTCAGCTCGCTGCATCTCCTGGTTCTTGCCCTCCGCTGTCGCGTGCGGTCTGTCTGTCGGAATTCTAGACGCTTCGCGTATCCCCACCAGCCCGTCCAGAAATGAGTCCCAGGGGAGTGGAGGTTATGAGGGAAGCGGGGGAGCATGCAGAAGAACAAAGGGCGGGGTGAGCCGCCATATACCCCAAGAGGGGGAGGATGTAGGAGGAGCCGTCGTCGTCGGAGTAGGAGGAGGAAGAGGAGGAGCAGGAGGAGGAGCAGGAGGAGGAGGAGGAGGAATAGAAGGAGGAGGAGATGGAGGACTGCGAGGACGAGGAGGACGAGAAGGAGGAAAAGGAGAAGGAGGAGGAGGAGGAGGAGCAGGAGGGGGAGGGGGAGGAGGGAGGAGGAAGAAAAAGAGGAGGAGGAGGAGGACAATGGCGAGCTTGGGGGCCTCTTGGGCCGTCTTTGGGGCCTCTTGGCGGTCCCGGGGGCCTCGTGCGTATCTCGGGGGGCCTCTTGTGGCCTCTTGGGGGTCTCTTGGGGGCCTCTTGGAGGCCTCTTGGGGGCCTTTTGGGGCCTCTTGGGGCTCTCTTGGGGCGCTCTTGGGGCGCTCTTGGGAGCCTTCGAAGCGCTCTTGGGGCCATCTTGGAGGAGATCTATCAAAGAAGGGGGGTTCCCCAATTAGCGCTGCCCCTCTAGAGTGCCTCGAGTCGCCTCTTGGGCGCCCCAAGAGGCCAAAATCCTTCCAAAACCTAGGTAACATCAATGTTTGTTGCTTTCTCGCCTTTTCGCTCTTGGAGCCGTCTTGGGTCATCTTGGACTCTCTTGGGGCCTCTTGGGGGTCTCTTGGCAACGTCTTGGAGGCTTCTTGGGGGCCTCTTGGGGTCTCTTGGGGCCCTCTTGAGGCGCTCTTGGGGCGCTCTTGGGAGCCTTCGGGGCGCTCTTTGGGCCATCTTGGAGGAGATCTATCAAAGAAGGGGGGTTGCTTATTAGCCCCGCCCCTCCAGAGTGCCTCGAGTCGCCTCTTGGACCCCCCAAGATGCCCAAATCCTTCCAAAACCTCGGTAAAATCAATGTTTTGTGTTTTCTCGCCTTTTCGCTCTTGGAGCCGTCTTGGGTCATCTTGGACTCTCTTGGGGCCTCTTGGGGGTCTCTTGGCAACGTCTTGGAGGCTTCTTGGAGGCTTCTTGGGGGCCTCTTGGGGTCTCTTGGGGCCCTCTTGAGGCGCTCTTGGGGCGCTCTTGGGAGCCTTCGGGGCGCTCTTTGGGCCATCTTGGAGGAGATCTATCAAAGAAGGGGGGTTTCTTATTAGCCCCGCCCCTCCAGAGTGCCTCGAGTCGCCTCTTGGGCCCCCCCAAGATGCCAAAATCCTTCCAAAACCTAGGTAAAATCAATGTTTTGTGTTTTCTCGCCTGTTCGCTCTTGGAGCTGTCTTGGGCCATCTTGGACGCTCTGACACCTCGCGACCGGCCCCGTCCAGGTCAGTGGGGAGGGGTAAGGGGAGGGGTAAACCCCTCCCCGAAGGGGAAGAAGGGGGTTGGCAGAGGAAACTCCCTAGACCACCTACGCCCTAAAGGGCTGGTGGGATTCCCCCCATCCGGTGGCGCCAGCCTGACGTTAGGCTAGGCCAAGAGCCACCCAGCCACCCAACCCGAAGCCTGAAGACTCATGCTCCTCCGCCACCCCGAAGGGAGGAGCGGAGGAGTTCGGCAGCCTCAGGACACGAGTGCCCCGCCCCCGGTGCGGCCGCGCCTCCCGATACGCCCACTGGATCGGTTGGCTGCTGGGGCCTCCGAGGTATCCGCCCCAGAGCTGTTCGCGCCCCAGCCTCGTCTCAGGTCGGTCAGTCGGTCGGTCGCGACGGCTCGAGGGGCGTCGAGCCGACACTCGCCAAAGGACGAGAAGCGGAGTGGGCGCACGTCGGACGGGGCTTGGACGAGGATTCATCCGTTCCAGGGCATTCTGGCACGCTCTCAGAGCGTTCCGGAACAGAGCAGTTGGATCTCAGAGATTCCCGATTTTATTTTCACCCGATGTTATCCTCGTCCTGGCTTCGTCTTAGATCGGAGGCGACGATGGGGGCGAATCGCCAAAGGCATGGGCCACTGTCGCCCCTGAATACATGTATTGCTCCCCCTGGGCTATACTCGCACCTATCATCGCCTCCGAGAGGATGGCTGCCTGTTTTCTGGTTGGGGGGAATCTGGGGGCTGCTCCAGGTGGTCCCAGGGTGTTTCAGCGGGTTGCCAGGAGGGGTCCTGGATCCTCCCCCTCCTCATCAGCCTCCCTCGTCGTCTTCCTTCCTCCTCCTCCTCCCCACCACCACCACCACCACCACCACCACCACCACCACCACCACCACCACCATCATCGCCCTCGCCCTCGCCCTCGCCATCCTCCTCCGTCGCCCTCCTCCCCTTCCCCTCCGTTCTCTCTACCTCGCCCGCGTCCCGTTGCCACAGCCATTCTGGCTCAGGCCGCGGCTCCAGAGGAGGCGGGAGGGCCGCGAAGGGGGGGGGGGCGTGCAGGAGCGGCCCTGTGGGCCGGGTCATGCTGCAGCGCGCCTTCGACGAGCTCTGCAAGTGGCTGCCCTGGTCGCCCACGCTGCGGGTGGTGCTGCTCGGCCGGGAGTACGACGCCGCAGAGGACTCGGAGGGCGCGCCATGGGGGGGCGAGATCCCGAGCACTTCCAGAGGGGAGTCCCGAGGGCCTCTCGTCGTCGTCCTCCTCCTCCTCCTCCTCCTCCTCCTCCTCCTCCTCCGCCTCCTCCGCCTCCCTCCTCTTGGTGGTTTCCGGGTGTTGCCGGCCTCCTCGGGAGGTGATGCACGGGGGGGCAGCGAGGGCTGCCGGAAGGGGGCCCTCTGGGCCCCTACTGGGGCCCTACTCGGGCCCAGAAGGGGGCCTTTGGGGCACGAGAAGGGCCCTCCCTCATCTTTCGCCCCCCCCGTGAGTTCGCGCCCAAACCCAGACCTCGGGCGTCTCGAAAAAGTCGAGACAAAGGTTTTTCATCGTTTTCGGCCTCTGGAGGCCCTCGCTGGGCCTCGGGACCGTCAAAAAACGACTCGGGATGAAAAACCGGTCCCGGGGAAGTGGTCGGGAGGTTGGGGGCTCGTGTCTCGAAAAAATCGAGACGTCGGATGTTTGGGAAGGATTCGGGTCGGAACGGGCGGACGGCAACGGTCGGCTGCACGTAAGAGTGACCTTGCGCCGGAGTGACCTTTGGTGCGGGCCCAATGGGGCCCCACGATTTCCGAGCGCGATGCGGTAGCAGCGTCTTGCGCGCTCGTGTTTAGCCCCCCCGCGGCCACCAAAAAGCCGTGCACCAGAGGTCACTCTTGCCCAGGGTCACTGTTGCATGTAGCCGAAGCGGGCAATGGGAGGGCAAGAAACGTCGGGGGATCGATGATTGCAGGAAAGTGGCTCTGCAGGGCCCCCAATGGCCCCTGAACTGCCGCCAAGGGCCCAAAAGGTGCACGACGAGCGCACGCTTCTTCACCCCATATCTAGACCCAGACATCCGACGTCTCGATTTTTTCGAGACACGGGCCCCCAACCTCCCGACCACTTCCCCGGGACCGGTTTTTCATCCCGAGTCGTTTTTTGACGGTCCCGAGGCCCGGCGAGGGCCTCCAGAGGCCGAAAACGATGAAAAACCTTTGTCTCGATTTTTTCGAGACGCCCGAGGTCTGGGGAGTGTGCTGCCCTCCCCCCGTGAACGAACACCCGGTCGGACGGAAGGGAGGCATTGGGGGAGGAGGAGGAGGAGGTCTAGGAGGAGGAGGAGGAGGAGGAGAAGGGGGAGGAGGAGGAGAAGGGGGAGGAGGAGGAGGAGAGGAGGAGAGGGGAGGAGGAGTGAGTGAGGAGGGAGGAGGAGGATGCAGAAAGGGGGGGAGGAGGAGGAGGAAACGTTCACCGGAGGGGGCGGTGGACTTCGCAGCAGCTGCAGCAGCGCGCAGCGCCGGTCTCGGCCCCGCCTGCCGGGCGCTCTCCTCGACGGGCGGCGGCGCCTCCAAGCGCCAGGGGCGCCAGGAGAATTAGCTACGCGCGCCGAGTTTCGGGGAGTACCCTTCCCCCCCCTTGTCCCCCCCGCCCTGTCTCCCCCCTCCTCCTCCTCCTCCCTCCTCTTTCCTCCTCCTCCTCCTCCTCCTCCCCTCCTCCTCCTCCTCCTCTCCTCCTCCCTCCTCCTCCCCCCCTCCTCCTCCTCCTCCTCCTCCTCCTCCTCCTCCTCCTCCTCCTCCTCCTCCGTCCGCCCCGCAGGACGCGCAGCGCCAGGCCCTCCTGGACGACTTCTGCTCGAGGGTCTGGCTCACGTACCGCTCGGGGCTCTCCGCGCCGATCCGGCTGGTCGGCGGCCAGGAGTCGGGAGGAGAAGAAACACACAGACCCAGACCCCCTCGAGTTATGAAAAATTCACGACGGGAGGTTTTTCGCTGTTTTTGGCCTCTGGGGGCCCTTCCCGGCCCTCGGGACCGTCAAAAAACGATGCAGGACGAAAAACCGGTCCCTGGGAAGTGGTCCAGACCTCTGGGGGGCGACGTCGTGAAAAAATCACGACGTCGGGGGTCTGGGGACGCAACTCGTCCTCGATTCCCCAGAAAATATCTGAAAATATGGGAAGTGGGGGGGGGGAAGACAGTAGCCCCGAAGGTGTGGGAAAGTATGGGGGATCTTCTCATTCGTGCGCATCTGTTTGTGTGTCCTGGGGCCCCTTCCAAGGAGATCGACTCGGACACCGGGTGGGGGTGCATTCGAAGCAGAGAGATCAGCACGAGCATCAACCTTCGGAGGCCCGCGCGGATGCTTGTTGGATTGGCGCTGGGCCCCCCCTGGCGGCGCCACCTGCGCCGATCCTGGAAGGCCGCGCGGGCCTCCGAAGGCTTGTGGGCGTGCAGCTGCTCCTTCTGCTGTGCATGCTGCGCGTGATGCAGATGATGCTGGCGCAGTGCTTCGTCGAGTCCGAGCTGGGCAGGGACTGGCGCTTCGATGAGGCCAGGGACCTGGCGGACGGCGCGGCTTACTTGGAGATCGCCTCGTGCTTCTTGGACACGCCCTCCGCCCCGTTCTCCCTGAACAACCTGGTCGGCACGGGCCAGAGGATCAGCATCGTCGAAGCTGCCCCTACGTATCCCCACCGGGCCATGGCTACCTCGGCCCCACCAGCCCACCCTCCTGGCGAGGAGGGGCCAGGCCCCGCGAAGCCCGCAGCAGCGGGCACACGCCCCGACCTCGGGAGGGCAGGGTCGGAAACTGGGGCCGAGGCCACGCCAGTGGGCAGTGGGCAGTGGGGATCGGCCTGGCGATGCCCCCAGGATGTTCGGCAAGGAGCCCTCCGCGTGGTTTGGGCCCACGTCCTCGGCCAGGGCCGCCGGGCACCTCTTCGAGGCCGCGACCGCGCAGGCCGGCGAGGAGGGCGCCGCCCTGCGCGCCCCCGCCTTCCTGCGCGGCCTGGCCTGCGCCGTGTTCGAGGACGGCCCCATCTTCCGGCAGACCGTGCTGGAGCTCTTCGAGGGCGGCGCCCGGAAGCCGCAGGGGGCCGCACGCGAACCCTACCCCTATCCCATACGATCTCTGAGGGGGGGGGGGTCACTTCGCTCGGGAGCTCCCGAGCGAAGTGAACCCCACCTTCCCCCCCAGAAATCGTGGGGGGCGGGGGTAGAGCAAAGAGCGCGGCAGAAGCACAGAAGCTTTGGGCGGCCCGCGCGGGTGTCGTGGATCTGCGCCGGGACCTCTGGCGCCGCCCCTGGCGCGCTCCGCGCGCCAGGGGCGGGGGGTCCAGCGCAGATCCAAGAAGTCCGCGCGGAACGCCGAAAGTTTCTATGTTTCTGTGTGCCGTTTTCGGAGGCCTAGAGGTTGACACCAACACCAATATCGGCGTTGTGCCTCCACCGAGGGAAGCAAGATCCCGATCTCGGTGATGGTGGCAATATTCTGGTTTCCAGGGTGGCCGAAATATTACCACCCACACCGAAATCTAGGATCATCCTCCCCATGTGGAGGCAACCCCCCTGTGTTGGTGTTGGTGTCAATTTCCAGGCCTCCAACGTTTGTTGTTCCTCTATAGGAAGGTCGTGCTGCTGGTGTGCCGGCGGCTCGGCCTGGAGGCCTTCAACGCGCCCGAGTACCGCGCCGGCGTCGAGAGCTGCTTCGGCCTGCCGGAGTTCCAGGGCCTCGCGAGCGGGAGCTCGGCGGGCCGGAGAAGGTATCCCAGACCTCGTAACAAAAGGGAGGGGGTCTGGACCCTCCAAGACAAGCCATTTCAGACCCCCCCCCCGTGGGAGAACCCTCCAAAACATCGTCCCCAGACCCCCCAGGCCCGCCAAGATAGCCTGGAAGAGACCCCCCCCCGAAACGAGACCCCCCTCCCTTTCTTACGAAATCTGGAGTACGGACATCGCTGCCCTCGCCCAGCGCTCGCCCTCTTGCGCCTCCGGGGGGTCCCTCGTCGCCACGACTGGACTCGCCTCGAAGTTCGGGTCAGGGCGCACCGCGGGATAGGTCCGTGGAGTGAGGGTATCGGCATCCCCAGAGAGCCAGTGCAGCATTTGTTCCATAACGGGGCCCCCAGAAGTCTCGACCCCTTCTCCAGGACCGGCTTCTCGCCCCGAGTCGTTTTTTTCACGGCCCTGGAGCCCGACCAGGGCCCCCAGGCCAAAAATTGTGAGAAACGTCCGTCTGGATGTTTGTCGGTACGCTGGCTCTCTGGGGAGGTCCGTGGAGGGAGGCTATATATCGGCGTCGCTGGGCCTTATCCCAGGAACAGCGCCTCGTCGGCGCACTTCTTCGTGGCGACGCACGGGGACTGCCTGCTGTTCCTCGACCCGCACAGGACGCAGCCCGCGCTCCACTCGGTGGACGACGTGCGCCGCTCCGCCGCGGCCGGGCCGGGCCTGCGGCCGGAGATCGGAGGGCAAAGTCCGCGGACGGCCTGTGGGCACCGCACCACGTTGGCGTCTCCTGCGGTGTCCTCGATCCCAGGGGTCTAGCGCACATAGTGGCAAACATCAAGACGGAGGTTTCTCGTATTCTTTGGCCTCGAGCGGCCCTCGCTGGGCCCTGGGACCGGCCAAAAAAACGACTCGGGATGAAAAGCCGGCCCTGAGGAATGGGTCGAGACTTCGGGGGACCCCGTGTTGAGGAGGGAGGAGGGAGGAGGGAGGATAAAACGACGCGAAGATCGGGACAAAATCGGATCGGGATAATTCGAAATCTCTGAGAATCGGCGGGTTTGGAGGATGTATTGGGCGCCGCGGCCGCTCCAGAGCGTTCCGGAACGCTCTGAGAGCGCTCCGGAACGCTCTGGAGCGACTTATCCCGATCCTAGCCCTGTTTTAAGGAGGGAGGAGGGAAGAGGGAGGAGGGAGGATCGGATCTCTGAGGTACCGCGTTGGCATCTCCTGCGGTGTCCTCGAGCCCCGACCTGGGAGTGGTACGGTGCACAGCGTTCCTCGGCCCCCAGGGCCCAAGGGCTATAGGCACCGTAGTGCCCTGGAGCGTGGCCTCCTCCTCCTCCTCCTCCTCCTCCTCCTCCTCTTCCTCATCCTCCTCCTTCTTCTCCTCCTCCTCCTCTCCTCCTCCTCCTCCCTCCTCCTTCCTCCCTCCCCCTCCTCCTCCTCCTCCTCCCCCCTCCCCTCCTCCTCCTCCTCCTCCTCCTCCTCCTCCTCCCTCCTCCTCCTCCTCCTCTCTACGCCTCCTCCTCAGTTGCACGCGGGTGGCGACGGAATGGAGGCGGGTCGTGGTCGGGGCGAGTTGCAGCGGGGGCGAGCCCTCCTCGGGCCCTGAAGGCCTCCTCTGGGGCCCTCGAGGGCCCCTTCTCTGTAGCCCTCGTTGCCCCCCCCAGTTAGCGCCCCCAGTCAATTCGCGCCCAGCTTGGATCGGCGCTGAGCCCAGCGCCCGTGGCGGCACCTCTTGCGCCGCCCCCGGCGGCGCCTTCAAGTCGTCGTCGTCGTCGTCGTCGTCGTCGTCGTCGTCGTCGTCGTCGTCGTCGTCGCCGTCGCCGTCGCCGTCGCCGTCGCCGTCGCCGTCGCCGTCGCCGTCGCCGTCGTCGCTGTCGTCGTCGTCGTCGTCGTCGTCGTCGTCGTCGTCGTCGTCGTCGTCGTCGTCGTCGTCGTCGTCGTCGTCGTCTACGGCTGGCGCGACCGCCAGGAGCAACCCCAGCTCTGGCCTCCCCTGGCGCGCGCCGCGCGCCAGGCAGGCTCTGGAGCCCAGCGCCAGTCCTAGAAACTGGCGTCGAGGCTCCAGAGACGGGGGGGTCAATGCACGCGGAGGTCCGTCAGAGCGCAGGATCCTGCAGGCTTGTTCTCAGGAGGGGAAGAAACACACAGACACAATTAATCGTCGATTCCCCTGAAAATATGGGAAAATATGGGAAGTGGGGGGGAAGACGAAAACCCAGAAAATATGAGACAATAGGGGGACTCCATTCATTTGTATGTTTATTTATCTGTGTGTCCCAGGGCCCCTTCATCCTTGCAGGATCCCGAAGAAAAAAAAAACCTGACTGGCCCGGGCCTGGATGGACCCCAGCCAGTGCGGCCCCGAGGCGGGGCTCTCGGGGCCCGGCGGCGAGCCCAGAAGCCGGCGCGGAGCTCCAAAGCCGGTTCTGCTCGCGCCGCTCTTCGCCGCTCCCAGGAGAGGCCGATGCCCCTGAGGTGGTCGCGGCTGAACCCGTCGGTCTGCCTGGGCTTCCTGGTGGAGTCGAGGGAGGGCTTCCTGGACCTGTGCGGGCGGCTGGTCGAGGGCCCGCGGGGGGACATCTTCGAGGTGCTGGAGCGGCGGCCCGCGTACGCATCCCGCACGGAGGAGGCCCTGGAGGACGACATGGTGCTGCTGGACTGAGCTCAGTATCGTTTTTAACCGATCCCCATCCCCATCCCCATCCCCTTCGAGACCACCACCAAATTCACACCCCAGTTGGGGATACACCCCTCGAAACCCGAAGGGAACGGCCTATATCCCCATCTAGGGGGGTAAATCGGCCAGTGGGGCCCAGGCCACGCCGCTGGGGATGGGGATCGGTTAAACGATACTCATGAGCGGCGCCGGTTCCTCCTTCTCCCCCCCCCCTGTTCTCCTCCTGCCTCTGGCTGCCTCGATACGCCCGTTCTGATGCGTAGCACGTGCCGCGCTCAAAGCGTGCGGGTCAATACGTGGCGTGTTGGCTCAACGTACTGGCCCGCGTTTTGGCGGGCGCATGCCGTCAGGCCTGCGTTCTCAGTCTGCGCGTTGAGCTCCGTGTTGTTGCGCTACGTGCTGCGTGTGGCGTGTCGGGGCAGCTGAGCTCCTGTCTGATCTCATTGCCGAGCGGGAGAAGTTCATACACATACGATGTTCGAAGCTCCGTGCGGGCCTCTTGGATCTGCGCTGTGTCGGGGCAGCTGAGCTCCTGTCTGATCTCATTGCCGAGCGGGAGAAGTTCATGCACACACGATGTTCGAAGCCCCGTGCGGGCCTCGTGGATCTGCGCTGGGCCCCCCCTCGGCGCCGACGCCGCCCCGGGCGCGCTCCGCGTGCCAGGGAGGGGGGCCCAGCGCAGACCCAAGAAGCCCGCGCAGACCTCCGAACATTTCTGCCTGCGCCGTGTTTGCTTCCAAGTGCTTCCTCCCTCCTCTTCTTTGCCCAATTCAAGCTTCGCGCGGCCCGCTTAGCTTCGACCGGAAGAGGTGCGCTCTCGACCCGCGGATCAAAAAGTGTCTGCTTCCAAGTTACACTGCAGTGGCATCCCCATCCTGCACGCCGACCCGTTCCCTGGCTGGGGCCGCGGCCCCCCGAGGAGGAGGAGGTGGATCGGAGTGACGCTGCGCCTCCTCCCCCTCCTCCTCCCTCCTCCTCCTCCCTCCTCCTCGCTCCTCCTCCTTCTCCTCCTCCCTCCTCCCCCTCCTCCTCCTCCTCCTCCTCCTCCTCCTCCTCCTCTCCTCCTCCTCCTCCTCCTCCTCCTCCTCCCCCTCCTCCCCCCTCCTCCTCATCCTCCTCCTCCTCCTCCTCCTCCTCATCCTCCTCCCCCTCCTCCCCCTCCCCCTTTCCTCTTTGCGATGCCCCGCACGTTGGATGGGAGATCCGGCGCGTCTGACTTGGAGCAGCGCCAAAAGCAAGGAGAGCGTGCAGCGCAGGGTTGTGCGGAGCGGGGCAGGTTGGAAAAGCTCGAGGAGTGAGTGGGCACGCGGAGGGGGGCCTCAGAGCAGCGTGCACACGTGGCCTGGGCACGAGTTCCGCAATCTTGGAGCACGATGGGCACCCAAATGGATCATCTACCACACTCGCCACTCCCAAGGTCGTTGAACAAGTGAGCAGGCATGTGCGGCTGAGACGTGCCGCTCCGCCAGTAGCGATGAAAGGTCTGTTGAACGACGCCTGAGCTGGGTCAGTGGCAAGACAAGAGAACGTGAAGACATGTTGGGTTACAAAACGGACACGGCGGAAGTCCTGCGCTGCAGTTGCGGCGGCCTTGGTCGGTCACGCTTTGCCGACGGCCCTTGTCGGCATCGTGGGCCCCGGCACTTGCCCGGCCGAGGTGGGAGCCCCGGGCCGTGTACCAGGACGTGCGCAGAGGATCTGCACGGAGAGTGGCAGCATGGGGATGCGCACGGAGAGGTCAGGGGAAGAGACCAGCACCGACGCGCCCGATCGCTGCCGCCACACAACGGGAGGTTGGAGGAGCAGGAGCGTGGCGAGGTGAGGCTGTCGTTGTCATCGAGGTGCCAAGCGCAAGACATGGGGAGCCGCGGATCGACCCTCGTCACCGGCTCTCTGCGCTTCAGCTCCGCGTCACCACTACGCAAGTGGCTTACGCCATTCCGCCGACCCCCACAAGGAGTGAGTGTTTGAGACGATCGTGGAAGTTAGATGTTTGGCCAGGAGCCTCGTGGATGGATCGGAGGGTCTCTCGGGATGCTTCTCTGGGGCCTCTTGCAACATATGGGCTCCAGCTCTCCATGCTCCAGCTCCACATCACGATCCTCTTCTCTTCCTCCTCCTCCTCCTCCTCCTCCTCCTCCTCCTCCTCCTCCTCCTCCTCCTCCTCCTCCTCTTTCTCCTCCTCCTCCTCCTCCTCCTCCTCCTCTTTCTCCTCCTCCTCCTCCTCCTGCTTCCGTAGCCCTTTCGGCTCAAGACGTGTCGTTCCACATGGGAGACGTGGACACTGTCAGACCGCGGCAGGCAAGACTTTTGAAGTCTGGTTCTCACTGCACCCGGCGTGCGGGGCGGTGGGTACACGGAGGCAGCTTCCGTGCCTGCCCTCTCGAGCGCCACCCCGCCCGCCATGCCGCCGAGGCCTCGGGATGGCTCTCCTGCTCGTCGCAGCCGCAGTGATAACCGGCGGGCTACTCCAGATTTCGTAATAAAAAGGAGGGGGTCTGGACCCTCCAAGACAAGCCATTTCAGACCTCCCCCGTGGGAGAACCCTCCAAATCTCGTCCCCAGACCCCCCAGGCCCTCCAAGATAGCCTGGAAGGGACCCCCCCCCCCGAAATGAGACCTCCCTCCCTTTATTACGAAATATGGAGTACTCAAGATGCAGATCATGAGTGGTCACCGCAGACTTTCCCCTCACAGGAGCGACGTGCGGATCCTGTTCAAGGCCGCGGCCGCGGCCCGTGGCGTAGCTGGAGACGTCGAGCATACGGTACCTCATCCTGGGCTGCAGCGGTGAAGCCACGCGAGGACTCCATGCAGGATCCCATCCAGCACACACCAGTCAGCACACGCTGCCGCCCCTACAGGTTCCGTCGGAGCACCAGGTGCAGCCCATCCACCTGATGCTCATGCTGCCCTTCCCGCTGCAGACGCTGGGGCGGGAACCGAGTGCCTGCCACTGGAGCAGCGCCTCGCTGCGACCACCAGCAGCCAGTTCAGCAGCATCCAGCGCGAGCTTCAGTCTCTCGTGCCCGCTTCCATGGGCACCGCCCTGGCCAGCGTCCATCGGGAGGTCGCCGCCTCTGTCCAGCCCCAGCTCGCCCCCACTATCGCGAGGGTCTCGGCCGCCGACGCTGAACACCGCCACGCGCAGACACGCACGGACGCGATGGAGTCCGAGCAGAGGTCCGTGTGCACAGGTGCAGCAGGTGCAGCAGGCGCTCGCGCTCGCGGGGGGCGATGGCCACCGCGACGCTCGACGCCGCCCGCTTGGCGCAGTGGGACCGCCCTGCCTATCCGCAGCTCTTCGGTAGCATTACGGAGGCCGAAGTCACGAAGGCCGCCCTCGTGGCAAGACTTACCGAGCGGCTTGGGGCAGCATCCGTTAAGATCAGACACTTCGAACTTGTTGGGCCAGACGCTCCAGGGAAGCGGTCTGCCCTCCACTGTCCTGGGGCACCCGCTGGCACCACGTGCGTTCAGGCTCTCGCCCGCGCGCAGAGAGACCCGACAGGGAGGTGGCGCAAATTCTTTGCAAAAGGAGTGGACGGTTACGAATGCAACATGTACGTTGGGCCCGATCGGAACCCGTGCCAGGTGCGCCGCGAAGTGCAAGCCAATCAGCTCCAGCATATCCTGCAACGTCACTGCCCCAATCGAGAATGGATGGCGGTCTCAGGCTGGGGGACTCCCGAGCCTTCTGAGAAGGCCCGCCCCTTCTTTCTCCCCCACGGGCTCGCCGCAGAGCAAATCTACCCGGTTGAGGCTCGCTCGTGCGGCGTATCTGGGCTCTGCCTGGTACCTGGTCGGCCGGGCGCAGCCAAAACTCGGGGGGGTCGGCGGCGTGCTTGCGCTTGAGCAGCCCGTACGCCGACGGCCACCCCCACGGCGAGCTCCATGGCGCCAGCGAGCAGCCCGACGAGTCCGAGTCCCAGCCCAAGACCGTGCAGGCGCCGCAGGCGCCTCCGCAGCCACCGATTTGATGGTGGCCCGAGCGGCCGGCGCGGTGCAGTCCTTCCCGTTGTGTACCGCCGCCGGCAGCGACACCCGCAGTACTGGTTGGCGCGATTCCGCCGCCGCCGCCGCCGTTCTCCGACGTGAGCCGATGCGTATCGCAGCCTGTGGATGCTCCACACGGCGGTGCGACTCCGCCACGGCCCCCGCCCTCCGCGTCTGCCGCGGCCGGCTGCTGGCTCCGCGTCGACGCCGGCCCCTGCCCTGCCGCCTGCAGAGGCATCTGACGCTGATGCAGCTGGTCGGCACTCGGAGGTCCACCTGACGGCATACGACCCACCTCGCGTCCGCTCTGGTGCTGCGTTTCCGAAGATTCCGTCGCGATGTTCCTCGAGGCCCTCTCCGCGGGCGACGGCGAAAGGCGGGGCCCGGTCTTCGAGACCTGCGGCTTGGGAGTTGGATTGGCGGCCGCTGGCGCAGGCTCCACGCACATCTGTAGGATGAGGCAGGCCATCGGCGCCCTGCGCGATGAGGAGGAGGCCGCAGGGGCGCCCGATTGAGCCTGGAGGGGCCACTTGTTAGCCTGAGTGCGGGACCTCGCTCTTGCTCTTCTCTCGGCCTAGCGTGCAGCAAACTAATTGTTGTATTTTTCTGCCGCCGTCTGTCTTGCGTGCCGTGATTGGGGGCCGAAGGTATGTATCGGATGTTGCAAGGAGTGCCCTTGGCCCAAGGTGCGCCCAGCTTTTCGCTCCATGTTGGAGCCCCTGGGGCCCACTGGGCCCCGTGAGGGGCGCTCTGCAGGGCGCAGAGGCCTCTATGGAAATCCCAGGGGCATTTTGGGCCACGGGCACTTCTAGCGACACCCGAATACTTCCTTCTCCTGTCGGGAATACAAAGGATCCACGTGCAGCCCTTGCTTCCGGATTGGTTTGTTCAAGGTGGTCTGATCGTCTGCTCGTTGGGAGCCGGTGCCTTGCGTAATTAGTTGCTGTCCGCAACAAATATGCTCGAGCGCCTCTTGCCGAGTAGACGGTCAGGTGGACCATTGGAGGGTGAGTGTGGGAGCTTAGCGTGGACGCATGCCGCCTAGATTAGTACTTATGTCTACCACCGCTCCAATGTCACAGGTCCATGTGGCCTTGGCTGAGAACGGCCTTGCAAGCTGTCCCGCAGGCTAGCTTGTAGAGGCCACCGTCGCTTTCCATCTCTCGAGGTGCGCGGACTGGCTGCGGGGGGATGGATCAGTGGCGTTGGTCTCCCCTTCCTCCCACTGTCTCCTCCTTTCTTCCTGCTCCAGCCCCCGGCGTCTGGTCCAGCCATTCGCTTCCTGAGTGCTTGTGTCCAAGACGGGCTGACCGGCTCCGCGTGGGAAAATTGTGCATTGTTGAGTTGAGATCATCCCCGCCCCTAAGCCGCCCTGCTTCTGTTATTTGAGCTTGAGGATAGAGGGGCCAGTCGACGCAAGACGGAGGTTTCCGGCCTGCGACCCAGCATTATTTCTCTCTCTCTCTCTCTCTCTCTTTCTCTCCCTCTGTCGCTTTCATTACTACCTCCCTCCCTCCCGCCTCCCTCCCCCTCCAATGCCAGACATCCGCTTCGCCGTTTCAGGCAGCAAGTGTCGTCCATGTTGATGCGTCCCGTCGCAAGTCGCACGAGCAGGTAGG